AAAAAACCTACTAATGAAGATGGTTAAAAGTCAAAAAGACCAATCTACAGGTTCATCACTTCCGAAAAAGAATATTAACAATTCCAAAATGGCACATATGTCCAGTATGATTTAATTATCGTGTAACTGGTTTTGGTAGTTTAGGAATGTAATCTTCCTACTCCCTTATTGTTATTAATATTTTATATTTTATTGGGCAAAAATCATAGAGAAATATCATGGAATCAATAATTTCTTCCGTTCTAATGAATATGATCGAAGAGATCTCTCGGGCGGCCGCTTGGTCTAGGGGTATGATTCCTGCTTTGGGTGCAGGAGGTCCCGGGTTCAAATCCCGGAGCGGCCCAATTATTTTTTATCTTGCTTCTGAATTTTTTTGAACGCCAAGTTAAATTGAGTCCACGTGGCTTTCCACCTGTTGTGGTCAGTAGTTGAATGAGCACGAATATTGATTCCTTTTGGCCTTCTCCATCGTTCTGACCTAGATCTCGGTCGTTCTTATCCGATCGGCCAGGCCGGCGGTCGGTGGCTCTTTAATTTCTTTTCCGATGGAAATCCCACGGGGAAATTAATGAGAAAAACTAAAGGGAAATGTGGTTCACCAAAGTTTAATTACGATAGAAAATTTCTATCAAGATTTATACAAAGATCAAGATGTTTAAAAGACCTAGCAAGAAAAAAGAAACTAGATCCAACACAAAACATTCTGAGTATTAACAGTAAACATAAGCTAACATACAACATACGATCTTAAAGATATTTCAATTTATATATATANTTTTTTAATAAGTAAAACAGTGTTCCAAAATGTTTTGACGCAGTGCTACAAGTGTGTTGTTCAACAAGTAAATATTCAATTTTTTGAAGAAAAAAAATGCAACTTGATAATACAGCACCATAAGGAAAGGACCTCAATTCTCGGAAAAAAAGGCTTAAGCTGTACAGAAATATTAATGATATTAAAATGTACACAGATTAAATGGAGAAAAATAATTATTCAAGGCTTGCCTATGCAAATTCCGTCGTCTGCATGCCACATCTCCATTTTTGACGACCCCAAAGTTGCAAATGAATTCGAAAAAAATTGTATTAAGGGTCGTGGCAAGAATCCACTTGCATATAATTAACCGGGTTTACTTACTGTCACTATTTATATCTTAACGAAACACTCTACAATCGTCTGTATTAGCATAATTTTCCATTAACAGAGAGAAAAGTGTACGAGAGAATAAAAAAAAAGAAAAATAATCTAAAAATTAAATCGTCTGGTTTTTATTGTTCACTAATTATATCATTTTATCGGCGTCATTATTGATTATCGTATAGGGATACGATAATGGTCTTCCACCGCGACCAAAAAGGTGTCGTATTAGGCTACCTAATTTACTCTTATTTATTTTCACACCTCTGAAAATGCTCAAATTACTTAAGAAGCTGTACCGTTTCAGGGTCTTGTGAAGTTCCGATGTTTGCTGTTTCATGATGGAATCGGCAGGTTTTTGTCTCAAATTTTCCAATTTTTAAGCTGGTTATCTAATGAGTAATGCCCAGTATAAAAGCCTATTTTCCATAATCATTGCCTGCTGAGAGAGAGGGGTAGATTTTTGTTTTCCTGGTGAGTTGTTAAGGATCTTTGATTCTTTTGCACTTGGTGAATTCATCCTAATCATTTTATTCTTCATCATTTTATTCAGTTCCGCTTTGAGACGTGCCAATTTGTGGTCCTGATTTAAAGGATGTACTGGCTGCTATTGTTTTCACTAGTTTGTCAGCCAGTCCCTCCTGGCACCCAATCGGAGTGATTTCGTTTTCCCAGGAGTGGGTGGAAGAATGTAATAAAACCTTTAGTGATGCTTGGATGTCTGAGAATATTTTTGTGCCCTTACTCCCTTTTTAATTAACTATTGTTCACAGAGTTCTATTGAATAGATCTCACTTTGAAAATTATTAGTATAGGGCTTGGAGGTTTTGTTTGGTCAAAATCTACTGTTTCGTCAATAGTTAAATTGAAAACAGTTTTAGTTGGATAATAACAGCATAGATTGTCAAAAATGTTATTTTTAACTTTCTTTACCTTAAATTTCTATGTTGTCGTTGATAATAAACAACAAATAATTAATGGTGCTTTATGAGATACATGAGCTTTAGTTAAAATTTTCTTTATAAAGTTGAAACTAATAAGATGCCAAAACTATTACATTTTTGTGCAAATTTATTTTAAACTTTTGAATAAGCGAGGTGAACCTTTTTCTGAAATATGTAAAGGTCGGACTTTCTTTATCATTCGTCTTTCTAAAGTGAATAGGGTGAACCTTTTTATGAGATACATCTTATTAAAATTAATTAAATGTACTCAACATTATTTAGGATTTTTTAAATTTAATTTATATATATATATTTTAGTTATTATTTTAATACCATTTTTCAACTGAAATTTGGTTGTCAAACGGCCCAATCCAATCATGCGCAGCTAACTTGTCAACAACACCCAACAAATATATTATAGTAATTAGTTATATGAATTATCTTCTTCAAACATTTGATTGTGTCAATTTTAATTAGCTTTCGAAGTAAAAGTTCTGGGCTTCCATGGACCCATATTGTTGTCCTTTCAAAAGTACTGGCATGGTAGACAGCTTCAAATAAAAATTAATAATTCTTTGCCTAAATTTATCTACGCAAAATCTGTATTGCCCCAGGTATTTAGAAACCGCTATTATTTCTCAACTTTATTAATGATGTTGAATTTTTCCCTCATATAAACTTCTTACTCTTTGCTGACGAAGTCGAACTGTACCATGAATTAATAATAATGATAACACAAAAATTCTTCAAGCCTCTTTTTCTATTTTTTTTTCTTGGTGTTCAAAAAATGGACTTAAACTGAATGTTGATAAATGCTCTGCGGTGTCATTTTTTAGATGTAATATAAAAGTTAATTAATCTTATTTTGGTAATAAATTACAACTACTAATTGTTAAGATTTGTGATTCGCAATGCTCAACATTTTAGAAACATTTTTACTATAAAAAACGCTCATGTCTGTAAGGCAAAGGTCCCGGGTTTGAATCCAGCAGCCCTGCATTCGAACCCGACAAACTTACAATTTTTTTTTCCAAAAAAACACCGACACCCCAAGGGTTTGATATGATCTCGGCTGTTGCGAACCCTCGTTAAAAAAATATTGGCCACTTTTACATTCTAAGTTAATTAATAATAACCCGTACCTTTCACACAGAGAGATGTCTATGTCAAGCGCAAAATTTCTCTAGGTTTTTGCTATATAAGGATCTTTATAATATTAGTCAACCCTTCTTTAACATATCACAAAGTTCTAAAATCACATACGTTCTGTTAGCTCGCTGGTTACTTTTTCTTAATTATAAACCTACAATAGAAACAGTTCCTATAAGTACTCTTTATGCAACAGGCGGGCTGGATTGTTTTCATTTTTTAGCAGAATGCCCAATTTTAGCGAAATTCAGAGTGCGACAAATAGGCTTGCCCACGATGACAAGAGGACTCCTAATTCCTTCTTTAAATAACCTCCAGTGTTTAAATTGAGTAAAGTTTGAGAATGAAACCTGGAGCTACAGGAATGAACTAGTTTTATTTATATGTGAGAAACCCTGGACATTTCTTTATGTGTATATATATCATTATACTTTAAAAAAAAAATTGCATTTTTCGTAATCGTAAACCATTGCCGTAAGATGCTTTGTATTACTATAGTTATGTTGTAAAAGTTTATTTTCATTCGTTTACTTAATAAAGTACTTTCTTCATTTATTCGTTCGTTCAACATTGAGCAGTGTAGGGTAAATGCTAACAAGACTATCTATATAATGATGAAGCTCTGAGGTACAGAGAGGCTAACAATAGAATACAGAAAAGAAAGAGTTGGTTACCGTTATATCATAAAACATAACCTGACCGGAGAAACAGTAAAAAAAAATTAGTGGGTTAAAAACACGAGAAAGAGAAGGAAAGCAAAGCTAAGCTAAGAAACACAGTAGATAGTTGGACCTCAAACTAAAAAAAAATCAAAATATATTACTTAACTATCAAGTATTGTATCACACACTAAGATTAGAGACAATTTCAGAAATTATTGTTTCAAAACTACTCATTTTATTATATTACTTTTTTGGTTTGTACAAACCTCCTAAACAAACCAAAAAATATAAATTCATTAAAAACTGTAAATATAAAAAGCAAGAAGGTAAAAAGGAAACGATTAAACTACTTATTTGTCGACGTTATAAGATTTGACTTTTTGTAGAACAGTGTGTTAAAATGTTCCAACTGTTTTGGATAAGTTTAAATATTACGATAAAAAATGGATAGTTTAAAATAAAAAATTATAGCATCAAGTCCTCTAAGTTATATATCATCAATTGTCAAAAAACTACAACACCTGTTTTTACTATGCTTTTGGCTCATCACCCATTTGGCTTTAATGTGAATGCTTTTTTTGATAGTTCTTTCAAAATCAGGAAGGAAATAAATTGAAAATGAGGCGTATTTAACAAACACAAACAGAATTTTTAAATTGTCTGAGTAGGGAAAAGTTGTTCAGAATGTAGTTGATAAGAATGTAACACCGTCATAATTTTCTTGAATTAATTAGTTGAACTTTTACTGATGTCTTAATTTCAGTCATATTTCTGGCTTGTAAACGAACAAGACTAATAAACAAATATTCAATAATAAAACTATCATCTAACTTTTTAATGACTCGAAGATTTCTAATAATTCTGAAGTTGGCAAAATACTAAAACGCTAGTGACAGACCGGGATGATCAGAAGACAATTGAATATTTATCAATCGGAAATAATATTTCTGGTTCAGGATTATCGTTTTACTAATTGGGACAAGAAAGAAAAGGAAGTGTGAACCTGACTGTGATTGTGTATTGGCTGTGATTACCTTTTTCCATTGTTGATGTGAAAAGCTGAAGTTTGAAGCTAATAGAGAAGAGGTGATACGTATAGTTTACCTCCGGCCCTTCAGTGTCTTCTTCGGTATCTGACTTGGGCTGTGATTCCTGCTGTTGCTGAGGTGGGGGCTCCGTGGGCGGGTGGTCCGGCCCTTCGGCCCCTTCCCCAGCCTTGCCTCCGCCCTCGCCGCCTCCACCGTCGCCGCCGCCTCCACCACCACCACTGTTGCCTCCGCCGCCGCCTTCGCCCCCAGAGTATTCCAGCCGGGAGCCAGGCCTGCTTGCAGCACCCGTCCCATTCTGGCTCGGTGCGGCTAACATTTCATACCTCTCCTGCAACATAAAATCGTACCGATTTAATACAGCGATGTAACGGAGGGATAAATTAATGGATCTGCTCTAATGGTGCGATAACAAAAATAAAGATTTTTTTAAAGAATTGTTTAAATAGCGTGGCTAGGAATTCGATGACCTCGATCTCTTTCCGTTGGCAATTCGTCATCTGCCGTGTGCCTCTCTCCTCCTCGTGCAAAAATGTATGTTTTTGCCACGGTGGCAGAGAAAAATAGTAATTAAATATAATTTTATAGTTCCATGAATCAAATAATTTATTTCTTTAAAATTGTTTAAATGTGTATTGTTTAGGGACCGTTTTTTCAATAATTTATTAATATGCTGAGGAGCTGTCAGGATTGAAGTATTTTAGACAAACACTTTTTTTTCATTTTTTTCCCGACGTTCAGACCCTTATTCGGGTCATCTTCAAAGCATATAGTGTGGTGCTGTTCTTATAGTTTCATATTTGTTTCGTGTAAAATTGTTAAAATAATGTGTGATTATATTATTGCAATCCTATTGGCAAAAGTGCATATTGAATCATAAAAGGAGCCTACCACACTATCTTGCTACACTCCAGCAAGGATGAAGCACTAGTATAAAGTGTTGTGTTGGAAGAAGAAGGCATTTTTAAATTGAAAAATATGAAAGTACGTGAATACTGTTGTTTTGGCCTTCCACAGCGATTACCTACCCGATCAAATGATTACTTGAAGGTTGAAGGAGATTAATTCGCTTTGTTGCGTAGTTAAGGGACCAGATACCAAATTGACATATTGATTCGAGAAGTTGTTCTTTTTGTTTGAGAAGAACGGAAAATCAAGAATTTTGGGTCATGTTTGGATAAAAGGTTGGCGATTTTGTTCGGTTTTTCTATTAGACTTATTGTAAAGACCCCTTTGTAGTCAAGTTATGTGTAAAAATAGTACAGAGAGAAACAAGATATCACCCTTCTTGTATGAACCCTTTTCAAACGAATGGCTCATAAATCGATATAGGGCCTCCTTCAGGAGGTAGAAGTACAAAAATAAATTAAAAAATATACCTATTTTTTTGTAAATTTACATTGTATGGGAAAGTGAATCTGAGGACTGGATTAAGGATAGGATTTGATTTTCGTTAAAATTGAGATAAAATAAATATAAGATTGACCTACAAAGCGGAAGAAACGCTTACTTCTCACTTTTTAATATTTCAATGTCAATTATTACGATAAAAGGCCGGTTTGATTCGAATCGTGAGAAAAACAGATATTTCAAACGGGCCGAGTTGTTTAGACTTGAAAGCCGGAAACGGCCGAGTGACATCAATTGAGCCGGGGAGTTTAACGGGAGACTTTGAAAGAATGCTTTGTACGACCAGACGATAAACTGAAGATTAATTAATTAATTTTAATTATAAGTTTACAAAATAATTACATTATCTTGCTTTATGTCTATATGTTAACAACGATTTGTGTGGTCGTTTCCATTTACCCCGATCCGCCGATTTTCCCTGTTTATCAGGCAAGCAGATATATATGTGAGATTATGTGATTTTTATGTGTATAACTGCTGCAAATTTTTTCGCAGGCAATAATCCGTTTGTAGATAAATAAATCCACAAGAGAAGATGAAGAAGGTGAAAAACCGAAACGAGCCTGATGGATTTTGAGATTTAGTAGTTTCCAATTGTTCCTGTCATCCTATCCTTGCTGTTCTAGCTTGTCAGACACAACAAGTTGTATATATATTGCTGCAAACATTTTCAAATTTATTTCATCGGGCAACCTCCTTTTGTAAACAAATAAACCCACAACCGAAGATTATGAAAATTCGAAACGCGCCTGACTGCCCAAAACAGCGGAAAGGGATAATCGGAAACAACCGAACTACAGGTTCGTCAACCGAAGACCTCAGATAGAAATCGTAAAATTTTGGATAAAATATAAAATATTTTCTAACACAGAACACTTGGAATTGGTACTGTAAATCAAATAGTTTATAATAAAGATATATTTTTGCGGATTATTGATTATTCCCCTATTTACACAAACCATTCCGTTATTGACCTTTAAGCTTTTGGCTTTATATTTAGGCTTTCTCGTGGCACTACATCAACATAATAAAAGTTTAGAAGAAAATTGGCAATTTTTTTAAAATTATTACTACCGGCATTCCTTGATTCATCATGAGCGAATCGATGAAGGGTTGTTGGTACCGTGTTTCCTAAAAGCCGGAGAAATCTAGCGGACTGGTTCGCAACCAGTGGTGAGAATATCGTATTTTATTTTTAACTTTCTCTGCCGGTTGTAGGTGGAAACTTTTGATTTAGAAAGAGAGTGGATGTAAAAAGAGGTTCGAGTGGTGAACATGGATGGAACAACAACTCTTAGTCCAACGGATGTGAAATTTTATGCTGTTCTAAAATTTCTTGAATTTAAATATAATACAGTTTTTAACGATTCGTACCTAAATGGAACCAACCAAAACAAAGGTTTGAAAATTACGATGGAACGTAAAGAATGGTTGACAAGATCTTAGCTTCGAAAAAAGGTTAAATTTTTATTGAACCGGATAATATTTGTGGTTATATTGTGCCTGGGAATAATAATAATAATGATAATGCTAATAAAATTGCACTTAGTTGAACTGTAGTATTATTATGATAGCAATAGTTATAGTTCTATTGGTTGTTCTGGTATATGGTAATTTTCAGTGACTGGCTAACACAGCGAGAATAAGCGGACTAGTATGATCAAACCAACACATAGGCCAAAGCATCCACCAAAAAGGGCCCTAAACTATAAACAACAGCTCTAATAAATTTGGTTATAAAACTCCTTATTCTCGCCGTGCTGGTCTGTCGGACGTGTTTCGGCATTTCATCATCAAGTCTTACAAGTAATGTATTTTTAATCATCCTTCCTGCTATGGTCTGCCAATTTTTTTCTGTATTTGTCTGTCTATATGTGCTGTTTTCGAGTGCCAAATCTCGTGGTTGTCTGCCATGGGCTTGGTTTTAGCCCAATTGTTGTCCTATGTTAATTATTGTCCTATTATGTTACAATCCCAACACTGAAGAAATTATCAATATTATTGTAGAATTTTAAATCCAATATTTGCCCAAAAATGATAACATGTTCAGCAAGCCAACATTCATCCCTAATTTTTAGATTTATGTTTAATAACTAAAGCTAGATTAATTCTCTTTTAATAAATTAATTTTGGTTAGATCAGAAATGGCAAGCCAAGGTTGCCAGGACCGGTTCTTCTTAAAACTTTCCAGAGGGAAAGCAATCAAAATCGAGTCATAATTGTCAAAAAATTATGGCTTTGAAAATTTCATTTGGTTTATTGGTTGATAAATTAAAATATGGTTATTGGTATAAGCAGATTTTGCCATTCCATTCCAAAGATCGACTGATGATCAATGCATTACTAACGGTTAATTTACATTATTTTTTACTTTCTTACCTCAAATTTAATAAATTACAACAATACTCCGAAAACATTAAAATTTAAATGAGATCGAATAGTTTTTTTAAAGCCTTAACCTAGACCGTACATCGATTCGATGCCAGAAAGGATTGTATAAACTCAAGGTTCTTCTTCCATACATTATGTATTTCTCAATTGTAAGCTCTCAATTTTAAGTATTGGCTCTTAGCTCAGGTATCCGACTAAACACGTATTATGAAATGTTTTAGATTAAATTCAGAATTTTATTTCTGTGTGTATAAACGTTGTTAATAAATAAAGCTGTGTAGAAAACATTTTAAAAATGTTTATTGCGCCCTAAAAGAATGAATAAAACTAGTTGACATCTTATTTCCATTTAATCTACTCGTCATTATTCAAGATTGTTTGAAGATGTTTGAATATTCAAATTGAACATTAAAAAAAGCTGCATAAACAGTCCAATAAAGGACATTTTTTACAAGGTTAAAACGTACTTTTTGACAAATTTATCGTCTTAATAAGTAAATCCCATTTAATTTTACTTTTAGGCTAGTCTTTTCGTTTAGAAAGATTTTCAGGAAGTACATTTTAAAAAAAATGTTTCGAAACAAAACATAATTGTTTTGTGTCAATCCAATTGATTTTTCATGCTACATCTCAAAGTTAAATGTAAGTTGGAATATCCATTATTAAAACATAAAAAAATAGTCTATTGATCGCTTCGGAGATCGTGAGGTGCGATCTGGTGTGATGTAGGTTTTACAAAAACATTTTCCTTATCGTGCAAACGTTTCGATCTTTATTGAGATCATCTTCAGCGCTCGGGATTTATAAACAGTGTTTAAATTTAACAAATACATGTAAGATGTGAAAATAATTATATTTTTTATATTCAATCAAAATATTTCTACTCAAACACTTTCAGTGAGTAGAAATACTTTGATTGAATATAAAAAAAAATTTTTTGCATTGTATAAATTCAATTTTTTTCCACATCCTGCATGTATTTGTTAAATTTAAACAATGTTTGTTAATCCCAGGCCCTGAAGATGAACTCAATAAAGATCGAAACGTTGGCACGATAAAGAAAATGTTTTTCTAAAACCTACTACACACCAGACCGCATCTCACGATCTCCGAATAATCAGTAAATGATTATTTTCTTTTGTTTTTATTTTAAGATGCAGGTTCACGCCACGATCGTGATATCGAGGAAAAAGTAATTGGCGTGCCCCAGTTTGGCATTTGCGGACCCACAAAACAATAAAAGCACGTCGTGTTTAACAATAATTTGTCAGGACCATCAATTAAGCTCCGCTTGGACGTGCGAGCTTTGACGTGTAAAATAAAGACATTTTTAAGTGATGAACATATTCAGAATGCAGTTTTATATACCAATTTTAAAGAAAGAAATATTAGTTTTCCCTTTTTAAAAAACTGAACTTTCTACAAACTCACTATTTCAAGGCATCCTCCTTTTGAGCGTATAAAAGTTCTTTCTAATAATTACAACAGAACAGCCTGTTTTAATTTTTTTAAAAGCGTAACAAAATAAAT